AGTTTCTACCCAATTTTCTCAGGAAAAAAAGCCACCCTAAAGGGAATACGGTGTAACCCCAGTGCCTACAGGACCAGTACCCACGGTTTCACTTAATGTCTAAAAAAGTATGTTCTCTCTAGGCATTTTCTGGGTCTTCAGCATGATTCTGTGGTATGCTTCCACAAGAAGTTGACCATAGAGTTATGCTGGAGGACCCAGAAATATCTGAAGAGGTGCTTCCCCAAGAATCTCTGGATCCTCCAGCTTGATTCTATGGTCAACTTCCTCTGGAAGTCACCAGTTAGGAGAAGAGCTTCAGTCAGCAAATCTCTTTCTGAATAAGGAGAGTAGTGTGATATTGCCCACACATGTTCCAAATATACTGCTCTTCACTAAGAAACTAACAAAATGAATTTCAGCAGGGAGAAATGTATGGTACTACACTAAGGCAGAAAAAATGAATTGCATAGATATAGAATAGGGGACATCTGGCTTGACAACAGTACATGTAAATGGGATCTAGTAGACCACAAGTTGAACACGAGTCAACAGTGCGATGCAGTAGCTTAAAAGGCCAATGCGATTTTAGGCTGCATCAATAAAAATATAGTGTCTAGATCAAGGGAAATACTAGTACCACTGTATTCTGCTTTGGCCAGACCCCACCTGGAATACTGCATCTAGTTCTGGGCACCACAATTCAAAAAGAATGTTGAGAAGCTGGAGCGTGCCCAGAGGAGAGTGACCAAAACGGTGAAGGGTGTGGAAACCATGCCCTACGAGGAATGACTTAGGGAACTGGGTATGTTTAGCCTGGAGAAGAGAAGGTTAAGAGGTGATATGATAGACCTGTTTAAATATTTGAAGGGATGTCATATTGAGGATGGAGCAAGGTTGTTTTATGCTGCTCCCAAGACTAGGGCACGGAGCATTGGATGCAAACTATAGGAAAAGAGATTCCACCTAAACATTAGGAAGAACTTCCTGACAGTAAGGGCTGTTTGACAGTGGAATACACTCCCTTGAAGGATGGTGGAGTCTCCTTTTTTGGAGTTTTTCAAACAGGCCATATGTCAGGAGTGCTTTGATTGGTGTTCCTGCATAGCAGGAGTTGGACTGGATGGCCCTTGAGGTTTCTTCCAAACATATGATCCTAATAGACTGCTGAATTGAATATGAGTGGAATAACACCAAGCTCAGGCCATTTCAAGCAAGCCTTTTAATGGACACTGGACCTGTGAAAATCTTCACTTTCTAACTATCCGTCTAATCTACATCTGGAGGGAGATCTTCTGTTTCAGTGGTGAGATTGAAGCCTAGGTGAATTGCCTGCTTTCACTGAACAAGAAAGAAGAAAATAAAGCTTATTTACAAGATCTTGATTCAAAGGCAAAACGCTTGACAGGAATGGTGTCTTAACCAAGTTTGAAACAGACAAAGGGGACAGTGATTTTAAAAAGAAGATAGAAGATTATTTGAATGTATTTTGGGAACTTTGAAGTGTGGTAAACAAAGAGTTAAAGAGATTTTACCTCCATGGGATCATTGTATTTACAAAAAGGTAAGACTAAGAACAGCCAGACAGTTTTGCTGAAACTAAAGTGCTTGCATGTGGATCAAATGCAGAAGAGGGAGGGAGAAAAACAGAAATGACAGACTTGTTTTCACTTTTAACCTTGTAACTGCTGTATTTGTACCATGGATTACAACTACTACAAGAATGGCAAAAATTACACAAGAGCAAGTACTTTCTCCAGAAAATTTTCAGAAGCTGTTGGAGATTAGATTTCGGAGAAGAGAGATGAAGGATGTGAAGAAAGAACTTTTAAAATGGAGGGAAGAGCTGAAAGAAGAATTGACGGGAGATATGAAACAAATTGATGACAAAATAGAAATTGTAGGAAATAAAAATGTAAAAAATGGAGGAGGGGTTGAAATTGATAAATAGTGCCAAGTAAAAATAGATAGGTTTGATTCGATTAGATAATTGTTTGATTATTACTAGTTTTTTTAAAGATTGGAAACCCCTTATACTTTTTGCAAAAATAAGAAACTGGTAACTTTAGAGTTTGGTGATTAGGAAAAACAGATTATTGATAGAAAGAAAAGTGTTATAATTTTAGAAAGTGAGGTAATAATATATATATATAAAACTGCTGGAGGGAAGATCAGAAGTGGTCTTTTTCTTTGTTTTTCTTTGCACTGTTCTCCCCCCCCCCCCAAATCTCTAATTCTTATTACACTTTTCAAACTCATCATCAAATTTCATTTTTAAAAAGCAGAGGAGAAAACAGAAAATAAGACATGGGACTGAAATGGTGTCAGCAGTGAGAATACAGTTCCTAAAACCAGCATACTAGGGGCAAGTTAAAGGGAGTCTTTCTTCCCCAACTTTATTTCCCAAGAACTAGGCTAGGTTTCTTTGTAAGCTAATGCATCCTTCTTTCATTATGCTATTAATACATTGCTGCTCCGGTGACCTTGCATGTCTGTCCCACTGCCAAGGGGACAAATCTGGCCTGAGCCATTGCTAATAAGATCCAGAACAAGCAAGTAACCTGCCTGGGCATGAGCCAGAACAAAGCTGAAACTTCTTCATTCCAAAATTGCTCCATTTTGTTGTTGTTAGCATCATTTGTTGGTTATACCTTACTAGTGCCCAATGCACCTAGCAATTTGCATGTAGTTCCTAGGAAGTGTTCCATCTCTACAGCTTAGATGGCCAAAGCCTGCTCAGCTTTCTCTGCTGCATTGTCAAATATTCACTGGATAACCCATAGCTCCATTCAGTAATTAGTTAAGGGTAGCTAAGAAATTAATTTGGCATGATATTGGGGCTGTGAGCCTCTTAAAGACACTTTAATCCATCATACGTATTTTACTTAGTTGATCCATTCAATGCGCATAAGGAGAGAATAGTTTTGAGGCAACAAGCACATTTATTTATGGTACACCTTTGTGCTCTAGCATGTAATATATGCCAGATTTTTCCCAGTGATCCTGAAATCTCTATGAGATTTTATTTCTAATGCAAATACAGCAATGATCAACACTATCTGTATTCCTATTCACCACTGATAGAAAAGCTTTTTGTGATCCAAATTTCACTGTGTGCCTTCAATTCATTTCTGGCTTAATGTGACTCTAAGACAAAGCTAGCATGGTGTTTTCTTGGTCAGATTTGTTCAGAGGGGGTTTGCATTACCTTCCTCTGAGGTTGAGACGGTGTTGCTTTCCCAAGATCACTTGGTGAGTTTCCACAGCTGAGCAGGGATTTGAACTCTGGTCTCCCAGAGTCCCAAGTCCACTACAAACCACTACATCCCACTACTTTATCCTAGTCCAAATTAGTTCTAGACAAACACATCAGGCGCTATACCTCCACCCCACAGCTGGCTTATGTCCTCAATATGCTTGTGTCTCCCATTCACTTCTATTGCATTCTTACACAGTGGATTGTGCCTACCTCATATCTTCCCTGTTCAAGGCAGGCATGGGATTGGTGAAGCCCTCTGAGGCACCTTCTTGAAGGGCTCAGTCTGATGCCCAGCTGTGCCTTCTCCCTTCTTCTGATGGGGAAAGCAAAGGGCAGGCTAAGCAATCTGAGCTGGAATGTTGAGGAGTTATGCTAAAACATGGCTTGCTTCCACTTCCCAACTCCTCAGTGCACTGGCTCAGATTAAAGGAATGAGGGTTTGGTTTCTCCAAAAGAAGAGCCATGTGGATGTGACATTTCCCATAGCTTCTAGATGCATTGACTTTGCATTAAGCCCTATTAACCAGCTTGAGACTTTCTTCTTGAAAAAATTTGTGCAGCCTGAGGATGTGGATAGGATCCTTGGAGAAGTGAGGG